TAGGAAACTATTTTGAAGAACCATTGCAATCCTCATCTGGTCTAGGCATTTTGTTAACTACGATTTTAGATAAAAATGAAGTAGATGTAAACAGGCATGAAATCACTTATAAATATTTCTGTATTCCTTTTGAAGGAAAATATTTACTTATACCTTTATTACATCACCTTTTTAATGATTTTTCAAGTTAAACTATGGAAGAAGCAAATATTTTTGACGAAATTCGTTCACAAGTGGAATCAAGCCAGTGGAAAACACAAGATGGTACTATTTTTTTATATTTTTATACTATTACTCTAATATTTAGTTTTGCAGGTAGTATTATTCGCAAACGGCAGTTTACAGTCGGAACTCATTTTGATGAGCGACCTCCAACAAAAAAACCAGCCCTTCCCGAGGATGTGCCGTCGCCTCAAAATAGCCAATTGGCAATTATGGCCACATTAGACGCTATCCAGAAACGCCAAGAAGAAGTTTTCGCGAAACTTAATAGCGTCGAGACTCGCCAATTGGAAATGGGTGAAACGATTAATCAAATGCAAGGTGCCCTTTCCGAAAAGGTAATAAGACTTACATCATAAATATTATATTCTGTTTTGTAATAACGAGTTTTCTTATTTTAGATGCCAGAACGTAGCGAAATACAGGCGCAAAGCAAACTGTTGCGGGAATGCAGGGTATTGACAGCAAGGGTTCAGCAGTCTGTTAGTCGCATCACCGGTGACGTGGAAACCGAGGATTCGACAGATTTAGCCAGCATGCTTCCCATGTCATCGGTGGAGCAAGTCCAGGCTGCTGAAGCCAAGCTGAAAACCAAGGCATATGCCGACGCAATGGTAATATATTCTCATTTATATTATAGTTGCCTTGTAATTAACTCTATCTTTTTCCAATATATAGATGGGGCTACTAGCTAGGCAAAAGGGCACCAAAGGCACAGTTGACGGCGTTATGCGTGGCTTATTTACAGACGAGACCGTGGCGCATTTTAACTTGGAGGGAAGGGCTGGCAATATTCCACTTGTGGGACTTAAAGTCGTCGATCTTCTTTTTGGTTAGATTTAACTAGCAAAAACTACAATACAAGTTTGTTACTAACATTATTTAATTTATTAGATATTTTCCTAGAAAAGTCGAAAGAAGAAGTTCGCGCTGCCCTCAAAAAATATATTAGTTTAAGCCACAATAGACATAATCAAAAAAAATATATTACAAAAAAAAGTTTAAGTAATAATGTAGAATAATAAACTCTAAATAGTAGCACTAAGTTTTTTAGAAGTATTTAGAGGTATTTAGAATCTAGTACATATTGTGCTGCAAATGCATTTGCAACATGTTTAAGCACCGGATACTGGAAACTCTTATTGTGTTCGGCATTTTTTGTATATGCCCTTGTATTCTGCATTTGTGTTTTTTCTGGTTTTTGGTAGATAATGTACTAAAATTTCTTACAGCAAAGCAAATTAGAGTTTTACTACATTATCTAACAGAAACCATAAATAGCCTAGACCAGATGAGGATTGCAATGGTTCTTCAAAATAGTTTCCTA